TATATATATATATATATATATATATATATATATAGTAGGTGCATACATATTCTCCTTAGAAGCAGGCACCTTATTTCTGGCAGAACTATCGTGACTTCCTGTTTTACAAAGGAAGCATGAGCTTATGGCAGACAGGATCTCATCAGGCGTGAGTGACGGTGGCAGAGCCCGCATGCTTCTCAAACAGAAACAAGAAGCTGTAATCTCCACTTCAGTCAAAAAAAACTTCCCATGGAATGTTTGACTTCATTATTTCTCTGAGACTGCGACAACGGGGATCAACAAAAACTCATGTTACACCTCGTGCTGTTTCCCTGCATGCTTGAACAACAGAGGAAACCCTCAGTGGTGAGTAAAGACATGGAGATGCCCTAAAAAGTGGTGGAGGAGCATTGGGGTCAAAACAAAGCATAAGAGCAGATGAGAAAAGTGAGATCAACCGTTTTTGTAATCAATTATTGACACAGCGTTCAAAATGTTTCCACTCAAGACACACCCCTTCCGTTACGTATAGATCGTTTGTTCAGTCACACATAAATGCTGTACATGCAGCATGGTACGTTTCCATCGTGATGTTTGCGGAGGTTTTTTGACATTTGTAAATCAAGCCTACGTCAGGGCTCTCTCTTTACAACCCTTCATGAACCTCTAACGCAATAACCTAATTTATAAAAGTTGCATAAAAAGAACAAGAAAGAAGCCAACAAAATAATAATAAAAAAAGGCCACTTGAGGACAAGATTGTTGAAGGACGATGGCCTTTCACAAAGATCTGTGGAAGTCAGGAGGCTAACATCATAGAAAAGAATGAGTTCAAGTTTTGATGATGGTACAATTGAGAAACGAAGGGAGTTCAGAGAAAGAGAGTGAGCTCGCTGAGAAACACAGAAAGCCATGTGAATGAGGAAGAAGTCTCCGTGCCTCCCACACTCTGGTGACAGTCAGAGGCCAGCTGGCATGGCCAAAGCATCCATTCATAAGGCTTTCAGGAAGTGAACAAGGGAAAAAAAACAAGACTTTCAGATAACACAACAACACGTCAATCTTCTCCCAACCTCCGTTAGGCCTTTGCCACCAACAACTGCTTCGGTGTAATAGCTGGTTCCCACAAGTGTTCCTCAATGACTCTTCCGCCACTGAAACACTGGTTCTCACCTGGCAGAGATTGACTCAGGTGTGGGTTTAACCTTGTTTAGAAACAAAGGGCCCTTGATGTCACAGGCTAGTACAATCATCATTCATCATCAGGTCAATACCTAACCAGAAGCATCCTGAGAATAAGGGAGGACATTCATATTTGACTTGAATAAAAGTGACCAAGTGACTAGTATTTTGTACACTGTTGGTGCATTCAGTGAAATTATACTTTTGGGCAAATCTACCTCAGGTTCTGCACTAAGGCTCGATGACGGCACACGATGAAATAGTGACTCTCCAGCAACCGACACGGGGAACTCTTTCAAATGTTTACTATTTGCTAAGGTGTGTTATGTGTTAATGTGCAAGTACTGCATCTGGTCTGTTATGGCGGTTGTTATGCTGTGTGTTTGTTGCAAGGAATTCCCATAGCTTATCACGCTGCTATCAGACGACCTAAACCAGTAGAAATGTGGGCCAGTTGATAAAAACGTTTGCCAGTTTCCTGGCACATTTTCAGCCTCCATGCTTGTGTAAAAGCCCTCAGTGTGTTTGTGTGAGAGAGTTACTGAAAAGGGGTTCCAACTGACATTAAAGAGTTGTTTTGTATGTAAATGTGCGGGACAAATATTTACCAGAGTACACTTGAAATGTCAAGACGTTAAAAGGACCAGTGTGTAGGATTTAGGGAGATTTATTGGCGGACATGGAATATAATATTCATAACTTTGTTTTTGTTAGTGTATGACCACCTTAAACTAAGAATCTTTGTGTTTTTGTTAGCTTAGAATGAGCCCTTCATATCTACATATAGGGACTGTGTCCTCTTCCACGGAGTCGGCCTTGTTACGTTCCCTGAAGGCCACCGTAGTTCTCTACACACTTGAGAAAGGAAGGGGTGAGCGATGGGGGTATTTAGTTGGTTTGCAATGTGCAACCTGACAGTCCGGCACACTGTTCCTTTAAAGTGATATTTATCAGGACAGAATATGTCTCTATATCAAAGTGTATGTTTACATTTGTATATACTGTATGCACATATTCACACATAAAGTATACGGCCATATTAAGCAAGGTTTTTAAGGATTTCCTTATATAAATCTGTTACTGGAACGCAGCAAGCCACGTCCTCATAGGCCTAATTTCTGACTTCTCCAAAGAATTATTTCCATGTACTTTGGGTTTTAAAGACATGTCTGCATTAGCAACCAAACACACACATAAATCGTGGCTTCTGCACAGTGCAAATCCACTCCAATCCTGCCAGAAACACTTCCAATTTTTTTTTTTTTAATAAACAGCTCTTGCGCGGTGAGTGATACACTACAATAACAAGACGAGAACTTGGCAACAGAAAGCAACGCACCACAGCAACGCGGTCTTAAATGTAGGCCATGCAGTCACAAGTAGAGAGAAAATATGCAGTCAGGATGTAGATCTATACTTCCACTTGAGGTTATTTTCCATAGGGTTGAAACGCAGGAATAAGGGAAGGGTTAACTGATCTGAATGGTGCTTCCTTGCTACTTTCTTGAATGAAAGTAGGGTGAATGCTTGGCAAGGAAGAAGGGTCTGTCACGCAGGAGTGATTGTCTCTTTGTTCTTTTGTCACTTGTGCTCTCCTTTGTCACTAGACAACAAAGTCTGGAATGTCTGTCCTGTGTATGTGCTTCTGAAAGGTGTGCTGGGGTTGTCCCGCTTGATTTATCTGTACATTGACATACTGTAAAATGGATTCATAGGTACAGAGGATTTCTACCTATTTCTGAAAAGTTAGATCTAGTCTACTGGAAGTGCAACACCTTTGGAACAAAGCTTATTAGTAACTGGGACCGTTCTGCTTATAGGACCTACCACAATGTGATGGAAGAGAAGCTCCCAGGCCTGAGTCAGCTTCTGGTTCTCCAACATGTCAAGGAAGTCATAGATGAAGTAACCTGTGGGGATAGAGAGCATTCAGCCAATGTAAACGACATCTTTAGGTTCAGCAATTCAATCAACCAAAGCAGGACAAAGCTATTTGGCAAGAGAAGCGTCTAAATGTTTGGTTTTTTTTGGGGGGGGGGGGGGGGCTGCTTCCATGACGACAGCGATGGCAAGCAAGATGCGTCTTGGAGAGAAGCTATTCATATCCACCAACCAGCCGTATCCATGGTGACATCTATTCAAAATGCTGGAAATAATGAAGTGTTGAGGATGAAGGGCTGCGAGGGAGATGGGGGCTTTGGTGGGACTGGAATTAACCTCATTGTGTTGGAAAAGTGACACGGAGGACCCAATATGGCGACATGTTTGTTCTTACCATTAGCAAATCATCAATCAATCATTATCAAAAGATTTCATTTGCATTATCTGGTTCATATAATTTCATAAGGGCATTGACAATGGACAGGGGGGGGCAGGGCGGGCGGGGGGGGGGGACTCCACGCCAAGGGGTCTTTTCAACAAGAGCTTTGGTCGAGTTTAGCCACAAACAGCCAATTGGAGCTGCGTGGGACTCAGTAACAAAAGAAAGGCAGTTAACTGACATCCCTTTTCTTTGTCTTGTGTTTTTATAATGAGTCATTCAGTGCTGACACATCTGTATTAAAAACATACAGGTAGAACAAAGATTGAGTGAGTGACATAGAGGGGGAAAATAGAGTATTACTCTTTACTTTGCATGGCCAATGTCTACACTGAGAACAAATTAAACTGACTTGACTTTCCATCGACTACCAACTAATGTTTGAGCAGGAAGAAGTTTTTGTGTTTTTTTTTGGTTTTTTTTTTTAAATCCTCCAAAGTGATACACTCAAGTTCCTGAGAAGTGACATTCATTGGTATGTTTACATCAAACCAGTTAGTCAAACAACCCGGGTTTCAGGCTGACAGAACATAGTTAGGTCTCTGTTAGAAGTCTAAGAAACCCGATTCAAACATCTGGCTTAGTCTGATCCTGGCCACGTTACTGAGGCATGTAAACATCTTTTCACTGTGGCTTTTTCTTTCTACAGTCTGTTTAAACTTCACTTGTTGTGCAGTGTGTCTCTTTTTTAACTGTATTAAGAGGTAATTTACTTCTCTATTATATGGATGAAACACCACAGCTAGAGAGCATTATTCTTTAAATTGGTCAATCATAGCAACATGGAGAGTGTTGAAGGTATCGCACCCACGAGCCGATAAACATCGTTGGGTTCCACTGACAGACATTGTTTCGAGGCATTGCACAAGGTCTCCATTCAACAAGTGGAGAATAATTTGCGGCATGCCACTGCGAGGTTTGCAGCGTGGTATCACAGCGAGCCGGGCTGAATGCACAAATCTGGAGAACAAAAGTCCTCACTCCAGCTCGCCGAGGCCTCAGAATCCCACCACATCTCCAGTGGGAGGGCTCTGGAGAAGTGTTTTTGAGTGAATGACTCCCCTCTCTGTTCCAGGGCCGGGCATCCTGAAGGAATGTCAAACATCATGAATCCTTGGATGCGCTTGTTGACCAACACAAATCCAATAAAATGTGTGGATTTAAGATGGCTCATGTGACAGAAGTTGTTTCAATAACACTTTCAGGATCAATGAGAGAAAAAAAAAAAAAAAAAACAGGACGAGTTGATATTTTAAGAAGGCGTGGTCCCATGTGCATTTAGGTTTGAGAAATCGTAATGATATCAAGCTAAATCTAATCCATGCAAGACTCTAATTTGGTTTACAGAGTAGATGGTAAAAGTCCATGTAGCCTAAATCGTGGATTCCAAGATGCATTTTAGTGGGAAAAAATAAATAAATCTACAGGACGAGAGAACTTGTAAATGTGGTCAGAGTCAAATTAAAGTGAGGGTACACACGAGAACACACCCCATAATAACTAATGACCCTCTCTAATTCATTCATAGATATGCCAGTGAGAATGTTTTTAAATTTTAAAGACCCTGGTAAACGTTTATATTTTCCATTATACTACAATATAGTAAAAATGAACAATATCAGTGAATTGTAGAAACTTGAGAAACGATGAACCATATCAACATTTCAACAGGTAATTCATTGAGCATTCAGGGTGGCACTGGTGTTATTTTACACATCAGCTTCAAGTTATGCAAACACTGTAGTTTGTGTTTAATTTATGGTTTACATGCAACCCCTTTGACCTACAACTGCCCTCCCACCACGAGGGCAATTATCAAAAGTAAAAGGACACCATGGGATGGATAGTGTCACTTCCGAATTTCCCCTTATCATGGCAGCGCCCATGGGTGCACCAACACCCTGACCCAGCCCATTCAGTAAACACGGAGCACAATTCATAAATGAACACTGTAGAATACTCACCGATAGAAAACGACACCAAAGCGTGAGAAAACACAGAGTGGGTTTCTATCAAATCTTCAGCCATCTGTGGGTGAAGGAAAAAGCTGCAAAGATGAACACAGGAGTTCGGATAAATAGGTTGAAAAAGGTTGTGTTTTTACAGTTTGAGGAACTTTATTTGGGAGTGATATCTATACAATAAAGTATACTTTAGTCAGTGCCAGTCATAAGCTTCTTCATAGGTTATATCATATATTAAAATCTATCCTGAGTTATTGGAAGAGGATCTGGCCAAACAGCATGGCAATAATTAAGGTCGATCATTTTTTGAACAAACCAAAAGCCAGCACCCATTTATAAAAAACCATGCTCGCGAGATAAACATGCGTAATGCATGCATTTTCAACCACAATCATTATTTCATTGAAACGGAATAAAGCGGTTTTAACTCACCACGCGACTGCCCATATCGCAGTGATAAAACTGTGCACAATGGATGTGGAGATGTTTCTCCACTTCCATGCATTCCTGCAGGCGGATTCAGGCATGGGCAGCTTTCGGAACCCAGTGTTGACCAGTCGGAAAAATCCGACGGAGCTCCCGGTCGTTAAGATCACTGAACTCAACTCCATGGCTGAAATATCTTGTGATATATAACACAAGTGAAGACTTCTCAGGACACAATTGTCCCCAAACGTGAAGCGCACCTTCGACTGTGAGCTACTTGTTTTGCGACGACGGAGAACAAATCAACGTTAACATACCGGAATATCCCCGGTCACTTAAAAAAAAAACGTGTTTCTTTCACGTTTGTTGTGTAGAGAGAGAGAGAAGGCGTGGACACCTCTGTGAAATGGTTCTCCAGTGATTGAGTGTTTGTGGTGTTTCTTTGTAATGACCCCCCTCAAAGATGTGACCGGAGGAGATGGGTGGTGAATGTGGGCGTGGAGCCTCTTTCACTGTTGTGAAACCGTCCTTGTTGTAAAACCCCATCCCTTGTGTAACTTTTTGACATCAACAACAGAAACCACCGCGACGGCCTTTCCACGCCCTACTATAGAAAATGGGGCGTGGTCAAAAGCACGTTTCATGTGTGGTGTGACGTTCAAGCGCTGTCGGAAATATTATCAATCGGCTACAGATTTATTGCCAAGTAGGTTTGCACACAATAGGAATTTATCTTCAGGGTTTTCTTGTGTAACGATAGATACAGTGCAAAAGTTAAGAGACATACTAAAATACAGAGACAAATTATGATAGAAAATATTAAATAATTTAAGATATAATACAAATAGATCTTGTTATCTTAATCTTTAATCAGATCAAAATATTGCCAGATTTAGGCTGTAGCTGTTTAAGGCAAGGTTTGTGTATGGCTGTTAAACTATTATCCATATTGGATAACCCGGACCACCCTCTCCACCACCTACTGCAGGGACAGCGGAGCACTTTCTTCAACAGACTCATCCAGCTCCGCTGTCACAAGGACAGATACAGGAGAACATTCCTGCCCACTGCAGAAAGACTTTATAATAAATCAACTCTGGCCAAATCATTCACACAACTATAACACCGTTACACTGTTGTTTGTTTGGTTAAATATTTGCACTACTGTTTAGTTAGTTAATTTAATATTATCCTATTTTATTGTATATATTGTGCATTTTCATATTTAATATTTTTAAATATTTTTTTACTCTGCTACTTTATTGCTCACCTTTTTGTATAAATGCTGATGTAGCGAATACATTTCACCTTGTGGGATTAATAAAGTATCTATCTATCTGTTTGTCTGTCTGTCTGTCTGTCTATATACTATAACAATAGCCACCAAGGTAGGTTATGTTACAATGTATATTATTTCTTGCATAAACGTTAGAAAGCACCACTAAGTACCGTCTGAACAAGGGAGAGGCGTAATACGAACAGCACTTGAAGGCACCATGAATTACGTATTTCTGTAGAACAACCCCGGAAGTTATCTTCGCACTGGTTCGCTCGACAAATGGGACAATGGGATATTTCTATTGGATTTTGGATTATTGCAGAAAATAAACAATGTAGCGAACACATGTCTATGATCCTCACACATTTTGTTCAGCAAAATATTCTTCACAAATTTACCCAAATTTGTTAAGCATGAATGCTGTCACCATGGAATGCTATGGAAGTAAAACGCTAACGTTAGGCTGTAAACGAAGTAAACCGTTCAAATGAGTGCGCGTACACCACGAGGCGGTCTCGTGTATTAACAATACATCAACAGATTCAGGACTCGTTCTTGTGCCACTCTTTCACGAACGTGGATTTATGGGAATAGCAGTTTATTTCAGAGAATAACGCATTAGATGAGTTACATTAGTAGTGTTTATTATTATAACTGGAGTTTGAAACACAAGGAATATTTGACTTGTTTAATTCATTGTAAGTGGCCATGAATGATTGCTCTAATATTTGGTGACACAGCGCCACCACCAGGTTAAAGTTATTTTTAACAGCAGCCCGCCCCTCAGCTCACATTGTTCTGTCATTAGTACAATAGAATGGGTCCACCAGAGTGAGCTGTATGATGGTGAAGATACAAATGGAAAGTTTTAAGGGCAATTATAGTTAAGTGGGTGAGTGACTGGGATACACATTTTAAGAAACTTCAACACATTTTAGTTTGAGAGGAAATAAAGCATAGCTTCAGGATACGGAATTTGTCCATGACAATAGTGAAACTAATCTTACACACGTGGTTGCTTTTCCTGGATCTTGTTGTCGAAACAGCACATTTTTCCAAAGCAAGGCTAATCAATGCTCAATAATTTATGAATAGTCTATCGAATCCCTCCGTCACGGGTGGTTGTGGGAGGAGCGTGCATATGTGGCACGTGATTCCGACTGGCTGTCTCGCGGGCGCTGGTGGTTCTCCTGCAGTCGCTCCTCCTAAACGACGCACGCTTGTTTCTTTGCGGATAATAACCTCACTGCGTGTGACCCGTTTGTATCGGCAGACGCGTCGTTTCTGACTGTTGATTTTCGGCAGAAGAAAAACCAGGTGAGCGCAGCTACATGGAGGTTTTTACGTTTCAGTGATTAATATCTGACATGATGAGGTGAGGCTTGTGTCAAAAGTAAAAAAAAACGGTTCTGACAGTTTGCACTATGCCGACCCAGGATGCTCATCCTGTCAGACTGGGTATTAGACCATTAACTCACTGTTAATGACCTAACACGTTTAGCAGTAGACGTGCAACCCCTATAGGGTGATTGGGATCAAAAGTAGAATAGATTTTAACTGTTTAGCTGGGTAAGGAATAGATACGAGTTTCAAAACAAGCGACCACAAAACATAGGCTTTTTAAGAATTTAAGCTTATTTGCAATAAGAAAATATACAGCAAACAGGCTCAACAACAGGGAAACAAATATTGTACAAAAACCCCAAAAGGAGTTTATAGTGCCACATGATGCTCATCCATGGAATTGATGTTATTGGTACAGAGCAGAAAAGAAAACAAAGATCAATGACATAACTAACCTTCAAAATAAACTACACTGAATAAAACTCCTCAGTTCCCTGGTTTTCATTATATATTATATATAATACATATATTATATGTATATCATCATGTCTTGCAGGAATGAATCGGTGCCAGGAGGAGGTGACTGGGATGGTATGTCAGGAGGCGGACCTGAAAGATGGACAGTAAGTCACAACTGGAAAAAAAGATCACTTTTTTTTTTTTTTTGGCATAGTACTGCTGTCAGTGAAGTGCAACACTTTCATGACCTCAGGAGCTTTTTCTTCACTATTTCTCTTCTTCCACCTTTTGTGTTTCCAAAGGATGAGGGAGGTGACCGTGGGGGACCAGAAGGTGTTGCTTGTTCGCACTCAGGGTCAATACAGTGCTGTTGGAAGCCGGTGTTCTCATTACTACGCTCCTCTCATCAAAGGTAACCCTTCTCTATCTCTATATACCCATATCTGAAGTAATAACTTTATTTAGTGTTTTGCATTTGTTACGACCGGCTCGGGAGTCGCAACATATAGGAGGGACACAACACCAAGTTAGGTTAAAAACAACCACAGCTGCCAGTTTATTTACAGGACACAAGTAAACTGTAGTGTGCAAATCCCACTGCAGACCAGGGTCTGGTGCCAGGCAGATGAGAGAGAGCGAGGGCGGAGCAAGGAGGTGCTTATATAGGTAAACCACATCCTCATCCAGGTGCCCTCAATCACTTTTTAGGGAGCCGCACCTAGAAGTCAAAAGACACAGAATACACACACACCCAAGCACAAACATTCACAGCAGGACATAGAACCGTACGTAACACTCCCTTCCTTAAGATGACAGCCATAAGGGTGTCATCCAAAACCATGCTGTTTTAACAGAAGAATAATGGGGGCTCGTCCGAAGCTTAGTTAGCCTTAGGTCATTTTTTTACTCCTAGACTTAGTTAGTAGGTTCAGGCTGATGTCACCACTTAAGGTAGAGTTTTTAGTTTTTCTCTTTTTGAGCTTGCCTGGTTAAGAAAGCCTGCGGGTGTTGGAGAGACCAGCACCACTTTATTGTTTTTGGTGCGGTAACCCCGGGGTGGCCCCTGGCGTGCCCGGGAAAGCCGACGAAGACTAGTTGAGGTTTAGCCGGATAGAACTACAGTTTCTTAGGTAGAGAGGAAACCAGGTAAGTTCAAGAATAGGTCGGTTTGAAATGTTCATTCCTCAGGATAGTATGTGGTGGCATTTGCTGGCCTTTGTTCTTCACACATGCTGTACGCTGTGTGAGTAGTAAGAGTGGAGAAATATTGTTGTGCACACTAGTTTTGGTTAAATGCTAGGCTGTAGTTTTGTTCTTCTTTGAACCCTGATTCGTCTGGCTGGCTTAGTAAGCCAGTGCTCATGCTTTTCTATTATCTGTGTTCAGGTAGTCTCATGCTTCTTGCAGGGACTACATTTTGTGGAACCTACTTTCTTCTCAGTGGAGGTAGAAAAGTAGTGTTTAGAATTTCAGTGTATCGTAGGGGTAAGAGTACTGTTGACACTATTTCTATACTGTGTGGCCTGAAATAGTTAAGTAGCTGCTCTTGTATAGATGGCCTAGTGATTGGTGCATTTCAATTACTCTCTGATTTTGTGTAGGTAAGCTGTGCTGTTTGGTAGCACTATTTCTGTGTGGTAGTGTTACTTTGTGTCGGTGGTTTGGCTTACTTATTTTTGGGTGTGCTACCTTGTAGAGATTTGTTTCACATAAAGTTGTTTTTGTGATCTCACAATGAAGTCTGATTTTCAAGAGATCAGTGAAGGTCCTACAATAGAGCAGCTGGCTCAATGTACCAAAGCCCAGCTCATGTCTATTGCAGAGCAGTACCATCTTGAAATTGCTCAAACTTCCCTTCAGAAAGGTCAGCTTAGAGCTAAGGTAGTCACTGCACTCATTGAACAGGGAGTATTGCCCCATGAATCTAGTCAGCTTGATGAGGAGCAGGGCTTACATGTGTCTGCAGGTTTAACTGTTGGGAAGAAGGCACAAGTAATCTTGAAGTCTCAAGATGCTCAATCTGTACGTTTGCTAGAATTGGAATTGCAATTCAGAATAAAAGAGCTAGAAAAGGAGGCGCTTATATAGGTAAACCACATCCTCATCCAGGTGCCCTCAATCACTCGTTAGGGAGCTGCACCTAGAAGTCAATAGACACAGAATACACACACACACACACCCAAGCACAAACATTCACAGCAGGACATAGAACCATACGTAACACATTGAAGTTGAGAAGTATTCATTGCATGTTCTCTAATAAACCAGGAGTGCTGGTTGGTGACAGAGTGAGATGTCCCTTGCATGGTGCCTGCTTTAATGTCAGAACTGGAGATATCGAAGAGTATCCAGGTCTGGACTGTCTGCCTAGTTATAAGGTAACGCATGTCAGTAGAGATCGACATTAAATAGCAATTAAAACGCTTGTTTAAAATGAATCGATCCAGGAGAGAGGTTCTTTCCAGCTTAAAATGTTGTCACATTGGATATCATCTACTTCCATGTAATTGGTACAAAAAGTACCACATTATGCAAACTATGCATCATGCAGACTCCACTTGAATGCTATCTTTTTAAACCAAAAAAAGTCATTTAGCAGGGAGAAGACGGGGAAGTTGCAAAATCCCCCCCCCTGCAGATGAGAGATCGGATTAAATGTCTTGATGGCAGCTAGTCCCACAGACATTATGTATTTTCCAGAGTAATATTTTCTCAGCTGTTACCACAAACTTCATGCCTTCTGTCATGTATGCACATTAAGATTAAACTCCATGTTGAGCTCATGGTTTTTAATCAACATTTTGCAAGAAAAGTGTGAATTTAGACTTATCCCTAGTTCTCTTTATTTGCAGTTGTTACCAGATGTATTTATTGTTCAGAGTACTTTGTCACTCTTTCAAAACATGTCTCTTTTTGTTGTTGAATAGATGCTGTTGTCAACATTTCGCCTGCTGCAGAAAAATTATAAAACAATTATATTTCTTTAATATTTCACAGGTAAACGTTGAGGATGGCAAGGTGTATGTTTCCATCAACAAAGGTGTAAGTGATGGCCAGTTAAATAGTTCAAAAAAGATCACAATGTTTCCTTTTATTTTGTGTTAAGACACTATTTTAAACTGTCCCTTGTTTGTGTCCCTCAGTCTCTGAAGTTGACGAAGCGCGTGAAGGAGATGTGCAGCAGGGTGCCAGACATCAAACACACTACTCTGCTGATAGGAGGAGGTAAGGACTAGATGTAATACATGATACATTAATGATAAATACACAAATCCCTGCTAGTAGGATTGGGAAAAAAAAGAGACTTGTGCTCAAGTAAATTTGGTGGTCTAGTGCTTCCATAAGCTCTGAAAAATTCCACATTGAATATGAGTTTTGTGATTTCAGGCCCTGCCTCGCTTGTTTGTGCTGAAACACTGCGGCAGAACTGCTACCAAGGTCGAATCCTCATGGTAACCAAAGACACCCTGCCTCCATTTGACAAGCCCAAACTGAGTAAGGTGAGAACTCGATCAGAGAGGAAAGGTTAACCGGTATTCACCCTGCATCGTTTGTCTTTTTGAGGAGGTAGATTCTTCTGTCGGTGTTTGTCGACAACCTGTATTCACGCATTGCCTCTTTCAGGCTTTGGACCTGGACAGCAGCAGCATTCTCCTCCGACCAAGTGACTTCTACCAGCAGCACGGGGTTGAAGTGTGGACACAGAAGGAGGTGAGAGGCAATTTATTTGCAGTGTCTCGAGGAGAACTGGTCCTCTTTTTGATCGTGTTAAGAAGTGTGTTTTGTGTTGCAGGTGATGTCGGTGAACCCGGCCGATAAGGCGGTGAAGTTGTGTGACGGCTCTTTGCAGCGTTACGACCAGCTTCTTATCGCAACCGGCTGTAGGTTAGTGTCATCATCCTGTTCATCACATTTTCCACAAACGAGGACGTTTGTAGATTGTGTCGTCACACTCTGGTGTCATGAGACTTATTGAACACAAAAAAGACAATGGAAACATTCACGAACAAATGTCCATGTGACGACGGCAGTGATGACGGTACATTCCTCATTTTGTTCACAGAGCGCGACCGCTCGGCTGTCCTGGTTGGGACCTGAAGGGAGTGAAGTTGCTGCAGAGATATGAAGACGCCAAAGAGATTCACAGCTCCGGTCTGGGCCAGAAAGCTGTTGTGATCGGATCCTCCTTCATAGGTCACCAGGTTCAGTTTCTACATAACATAGCAGAATGAAACTAGGATTGTGCATGTAAAAAACGTGACGGTGCAAGATAAAGCTGCTTCACCACACGTGGTCACACCCAACATTGCAGACCGCTGAAGTGTTTCTCATTAACACAACAGGTATGGAGGTGGCCTCCTACTTATCCAACAAAGCTGCCAGTGTGGCCGTGGTTGGCACTTCCGGATACCCGTACGAGCGGTCACTGGGGCCAGAGATCGGCAAAATGAGCATGCAAGTAAGAGGCAATGATGACGGTAGACTGTCGCCGTTATCGCTGAATGTTGATTTCATCAGATGGAACAAAAGTTTAAAACACGGTTTCTTCGTTTAAGATGTTGGAGGAAGAAAACGTAAAGTTTTACATGAATGACAGAGTCACTGAGATCCAAGGGGAGAACGGCAAGGTGACTCTACTTTTACTCCATTAGCGTTTGACTTTGTAACTAATAACATTAACGATGGCTCTGTTACGTTCAAGTGTCCCAGTAAGCCGTGACAGCACGCACAGCAGCTCAAAGGAATCCAGGCATCAATAATATTACGATTACCTGTGTTTTTACCACTGTGACATGTAAAAATGTCCTCAGTAAAAAAGCCCAATGTCACTAAATCAGGAACGCTGCATCTTCAAACCTAGATCCAAACTGTAGATCCATAAATGAGTCTTCTTTTTCCAGGTGAAGCGGGTGGTGCTGAAGAGTGGTATCGTCCTGGAGGCCGATGTAGTGATTGCTGGAATTGGTATTTTGTCATTATTATATTGCACAAATCAAGTTTGGGACCGTTTTAAAACATGCAGTTTAAACACGAAGATCTCTGTTTTTAGGTGTAATCCCCAATTCAGACTTCTTGGCAGGAAGCAAGTTGGAAGTGGATTCAAGGAAAGCTGTGGTTGTTGACAAGGTAACGCGCTAATTAACAAAGCCTTCATCCCTGTGATAATGACATAACTAATGAAGGATGAACGTGGCTTTACATGTTATGACTTAACTTTTTTTGTTTTTGGCCAAACATTAATATTTGTGTGTCCAGGTGATTGAAACGAATAGCTGTATAAATACACGGTGTCTTTGTGAGCCTAATGTTAAGGCTCCTGCTGTTAACGCATTTATCTTTTCCAACAGTTCATGAGGACCAATGTACTGGATATCTTTAGTGCTGGAGATGTTACCTCTTTCCCTCTGACCATTCGTGGAGACCAAAGGGTCAATGTGGGTCACTGGCAAATGTCACAAGCTCAAGGTAACTGATGGATTCAAAGAGCCAGTTGTGATGCGTGTTGCAGATGAGACGAAGTTCTGTTTCTGCATCACACATATTTTATTTTAATCCGAAATGATTTGAAGCCTGGATTTAACCTTATCATGCATGTATTGTTTTGTGTCTTTAACCCTCAGGAAGAGTAGCTGCCTTAAACATGCTGAAGAAACCAACCAAATGTGAGTCTGTTCCTTTCTTCTGGACCGTGTTAGTTGGGAAGAGTATCCGATACACAGGTAGAGTATTTATTGAGGATAGTATCACCCTTGTATTAGGATATTTAAACCCAGAAAAATAACCTAACCGGGTCTCATTTCCTCATTCTAGGCTATGGGAAAGGATACACAGAAATCATATTCAAAGGCAAAGTGGAAGAAAGGAAGTTCCTGGCGTTTTACATCAAGTGAGCAGCTGTGGAATGACTCCCGATACAGCTGATTATTAGTGTCTGCTTTGTGCTGAAAGCCTTTCATTTGTCCTTTAACAGAGATGATGTGGTGGTGGCGGCGGCCAGCCTGATGTTCGACCCAGCTGTGGCTTGTCTTGCAGAGCTGATGGCGACTGGCCAGATTATAACAAAGGCACAGGCTCAGTGAGTGTCATCCTGCTTTTACACAAACTTATGTGTTTATATCCTGTATGCACATGAAATGAGGATGAATTCTGCTACTGTGTTATGTCATCAGGGAGGAAATGTCTTTCTTATTTTGGCCACTTGGGGGCAGCGGAAACCAGCTGTAAACAGGTCAACGTTTTAAGTTGATGGGGAGAACCTGTGAGCAAATATTGCTTATTTACTCATCCAGCAGATATGGAGCAACATTATCATTGATGTATCATTCCAATATTCACTCTCCTTTAAGCTCTGTTTTGCTATCCACCAACTATCTGTCTCTTTAGCTGCTTAATGCTGCACTATGTTCACTATGTAAAACCAAAATAATCTGTAGTGCTTAAGTTGATGAGTCTCTGTGGGTTGTTGGGTACAAGTGACACCTTTTACTTTACAGTCATTTGATCCACTATTAATATGAAAAATATTTATTACAGCAGCTAACTATTATACTGTAGCTCAGTTGGTACAGACATGACAGACTTGTGGGAAACCTTGATGCCATCACAGTCATGTAAACACTACACAGGGGTCTAAATCATCAGGTTACTTTATGTTCTATAGCATCATATCTGAAATCACAACTCATAACCTGGATACTACTCTTTGCTATATGTGTTTTTTCACTTCCTCCTGTTCAGAGCTGAAGACTTGAGCTGGCTGCAGATGTGACCTGATGTATGAAAACACCTCTCAGTGACGAAGGATGGCGCCTTCATCTTTCTTCTTCCTCTCTTGTTCTAACTACAGATTCCACTAATCTATTACTATTATTATTATTATTATTATTATTAGCCACCTAACATAAATATATACAAACAATGTTTAAACTCCAAGACTCTATAAACACTTAATTTAATAGTATTTTGTAGTATAGTCATAGTTAAGTAATAGTATTTTTCATACTATTTCATCCACTTAAAACTTCCTGAAAACACATAAACTACTACAAATGACTTAGTTACAATATATTTGAGTAACTTTTTTAGAATTTAAAATACAACGGTCAGTTAAAATGTTGCGCTCAACAAATGCAATGATAAACAGGTTGATTATTAACTTTTTCTTTTTTCTTTTTTTTTTTTTTTACTTTTATCAATACCTCTGTTTAATAGAATCAATCATAAATGTTTATAGCAGAGATGTTAATGTTTCATCTTTATCATAAAACTTGAAATTTACATGAATATAAATGAAAGCGCTCTGTGTAATCTTACCTTATGCTTTGTGGTGCATAACTTAAGCTCAGGTATTAAACAAATCTGATTGTTCATATCATACTTACTGTTGTCAGCTGCAGTATGAGGATGTGTGTTCTGTCTGTTCTCAGTTTTTCCTTAAATTTTTTGTTACACTGATGATAATAAATCATTATTCATCAGTAGATAACTTTTTTTTGATTTTCCTAGGTTGCTTCTGAGATGTTGACGCAACGTAATAATCTTAATCAGGTGTTGGTGGAACATTTCTCGTCAGTGATTATTAGGTCTTTGTAGTTTTACTTCCACTTTGTTGTTCATTGCTCTTTTGAGTCTGTGTGTCCTGGTTTTTTGGCAAACTGGCTTTTTTTGTGCATTTTATAAACCCCCCCGCACTACTGTACCTGTAAGCTGGGAAGTCCACTCTCGGTAGTCTTTGCTTACTTAAAGCTGTCAGAATCTCAGTGTTGCCATATAATCATATTCCATGTGTCCTGTCTCTCTGCTCTTACACTGCCATATGATGTCTGATGTGTCCAGTCCTGTTTGGAAAAATAACCCCACTAAAAACTTCTGATCATAAAAAAATAAGTAACTCTTTCATGGTGCACAATGACAACTTAATCAGTCAAGAACACTAGCAAGATGCTTTTATTGTGATTTGTACACAGAACCGTTTACTTGTTCATATTACTTTGACGTTTCTCAAGTAGGTCGAAGCATCAAAAGTTAAAACAATTACTACAAAATGTTATTTTAGTATTTGGAGACTTTTTATTTCATAACCGACAGCATTATTTTGTAAAACAAGTAAACCTTGACAAATTTACAGTATAACAAGACATACGTGACAAGCACATAACATGATTAGTCTCTAATGTTATACTTATAAAATCAACTAATTCTGTGTTGCGATCTTATTTCAGTTCTACTAAATCTGCAGAACAATCTCCTCAGTATTCAGCTACATCTTTATTTGCTTGTTTTGGAGCACTGCTTCACTGAGGATCCCAGTTTGTCAGCCAGCAGAAATGGGTTGAGGTGGCAGTACTGAGGAACAAATTAAGAAAATCCATGGTTACTTCTACACGAGACAAATTGTTGCTATGAATTGTGCTTATTGTAAAACGTCAATATAGGCAACATTCTTGCATGCAAAACACAGGTCAACTTTATTCTATTTCTGAATACAGTCAGTATCTGTTTTTTTTAAATGAAAGCATTTCAGCTAAGGTAAACCCAAAACATCAGCTACCTGTGGTGTTGACTCTGAGTCGGACTCTGGTTGATCCGAGACCTGGATTTTGAAATCCGGGGAGAAACGAGATCTCTGGAGGATTGCTGCCATCTCTCCATTCACCACCACTGCCACATCTTTCTGCATAGCACAAAAGAAAACAGTGATATAATCTTTCCAAAAACACAACAAATTATATTTAAGTAAGAATATGCAGCATTTCTTTTGATTGAAAAAGATATACAGACCTACATCTTACTTACATTATACATTACTGGATCAATAAGCCACAGGTTAGTAAATAACCTGTGTGAACATTGATAAAGATATTTTAATATCGGCCTGATTGGCCTTTTATTATACCTTGAAACAGTGGGAGGAATCAAAGTCTAGCTGATCTGGGAAATCTGCCACAGTTCCTTTATAGGTCACGGTCGCCTCAGACACGACTGGACTTTTGGGCAGCTTAAAGAGCCGGTAAGTGCCCGAAGCAAAGCCGACATCCCCTGGAAAAAAACAAAGAACTGGCTCAATTGTAAAGTGATAATTATCTTTTCTTGTAATCTAAATGTTGCCTTCATGTTACCTGCTTTTGCTTTGAGCTCACTGTTGTAGATCACAATGTGGCTGGCTGAAACGAGATGTGGAGTGCTGAAACCTACGCCGTGTGCCAACGAAATGAGATCCTGCCAAAACAGAGAACCACCCATTCCTTCACCTGGACCAGAAATCAAAGGGGACACACACACACACACACACACACACACACACACAAACAAACAAACAAACGGAGGGTATTGTCTGTCAGCGGTGCACCGATTCTGCTCTTTTACGATGACTTTTAGATGATAATATAAACTTATTTTTACCCCACAGGACTGGATCTTCCTTCATGTGATCAGGAACGACTTTGCTGGCATACATGTCACTAAAGTACAGCTCACCTCCCTCCTGTGTAAAATGAGATAAACAGAGTTCCCATCACATCTTCCCTTTCAACACATTAACGCAGCTGGTCGAAATTCTTCAGACTAACCTTCAGGATGTTGTAAGCTTGCTGTAGCACTGCTCTTTTATCAGGACACAAACAGATCACACAGTTGGATCTGGATACATTAGAGGGAAAAACAGTGTTTATCGATTAATCTAAGCTGTCTTATTGTAACAGATAATGTAGAATCACATCCATGTTTTAAACCTACAACACAACATCCACTGAGTCACTATGCATGCCAGCTTCACCGAGCTTCTCCATGTACCCCTGGACAAACGTGATGTTGGGCTTCTCATAGCCAAACTTCTTCTGATGATACTCGATGTACTGACGGGATACTGCGATCTAAAGAAATGCGAGTTTGATTAGTAGAAAGCACAGAAATCTAGCCTCAAACGTTGTGTGAACATGTATGCGTCATCACCAGCTCCTCCGTCATATCGATCCCTGTCACATGTCCGCTCGGCCCAACCAGTTTACTGAAGGCATAACAGTCTCTGCCAGAGCCGCTGCCGAGGTCCAGGACTCTGCAGCCCTCAAGCTTCGCCGGGAAGGGAAGGCCGCAGCCGAAGAATCTGGAGAAAAGAGTCGTTAACAACAACGAAATCACGGTGCAGTGATGAGAAATACAGAGAGATGGCTGTGTGCTCTAAAGGACGACAACAGACTAGTAAAGACCAGGACGGAAGCCAGTTCCTCTGCTCGATGACATTTTAAATCACTGATGTTCACAAAGTCTTTTTTAGCAGTATGTGTATACTTTCTAATGTGTTTACAGAGAGGTCCAATAAGTCATTTGTCAGTGAAACTGAGGCATGATCATGTTTGGATTTTTTTCCTGACCTATCGATGGCTGCGTGTATGTTTGATTTGTACGAGCCCTGTCTGAGTCTTGTGCTCTTTTCATTGCTGAGTAATCGAGTAGTACTGCTACAAAACAGTCCATTCCTGTTGTTCCTCTCATACCAATGACACCACAGGATGGCATGTGTGACAAATTATGCGTGGGAAATATGCAAAAAAAAAAAAAAAATCAGTTATTTCTTAAATTAAGAGGATGTAAAAGTAAATGTGGGATAAGAGTGCGCAGCTTACTTTTTGGTTACCTCTGGGTGAACCAGGATCAGTGCATCCCTGACACTCTTTTGTGGTGGGCGGCAAGGCAGACTGCAGGAGGAAGCACTTGTTTGCAGATCACCAGAGGACTCCAGTCGGCTGCCATAGTACTTCTGCACACATAATAGTGAATATATGGTTAACAACTGTCTCTGCACATGCTTTTCCATTCAACGACATGGTCTCACATGGAAACGAGTGTTACAAAAACCACATCCTCACGACCATTGCATGCCTTCAACATTGTATTCCCTACATTTGAAAGAGATTGCATATCAAAATAAAAGAATTCCCATGAATAATGAATAGATGAGAAAAAAAGTTGTTCCTCTTCTACATCGTATATGCATTTGTTGTGATTGAAGAATCTGTATTTTCAACTTCAGGAAAATATTCAGTGAGGTATTGAAACTCGGCTGTGCACTATTATGCAATGTCAACTGTTCTGGCAGAAAAACTGAACTCTGAGCTAAAGACAAATCTGAAGTGGGCCTACCTTCACATTTTCCCGCACGTCGTCACAAGACGCCATTACGTCGGACAGCATTACAAAAACATGAAAAAGTGTCTGAGACGGAAAGCAATTGTTTTGTAGCGTATATGTATAAAACGCTGGGTTTATAATTTACATGCGTTAAGACCTCCCCCCTCCAATGATCAGCGGACCTTGCCTTTCCTTTCCGGCCCATTTTATTTTTCACAATAAAAGCATACAAGGATTGAAATTTATACAATAAAAAGAGATAAACAAAACACATAGGTTAAATGAAATGTGTAGTCTAAATATAGCTTGGTGGAAAAAAAGTAAATACTTCAGTAGCAAAGTGTAAGTATATAATCTATTAATTACTTTGATGACTGTAAAAGTCTAAAACAAAAGAATCGCATACATTAGTTATTGCTTTTCAAACCAATGTCACAGTTCACCTTTCATTGTAACACTTCTGTAGTTTAACAGCACACTGAAATATAAGCCAAAGCTAAGCATTTTCTGTTGGCCTACTGGTCTCAAAACTCAATATCGAACTAACATTGTGTTAAAATAATTCATGGATCTACAGGGTTTGCTTTTTTAAATTTTATTGCAGCAGATACAAAAACATAACCACACAATGTTTGAGATATTTACAGTTTTAGATGAATGACACATTTCAATTTATCTAAGGGATGATCAGACAATCTGACTTAACCTGAGCTACTAAAAGCTTGAAATTTGTTTCACAAACAATGAAGAATAATAATTTTTAAAGACTTTGCTAGAATACTATAATAATATTATACTACCATAATACTAGAATTACAGCATGGGTGCTGTCATCTAATTTCATGTTTCAGCTCAACAGCGCTGAGGGAAAAGAAAAAATTGATACACTTACATTGGGAAAGACAAAAATATTGCTATACATATATACTTGTTAAGAGATGTTGTTGGTAGGCCTATACACATCTGTATACAGCAAGGACATTAACATCTGAACATGTCTAGGATACACCAGTACATAATCTAAAAAAAGACCATTAAGGCTAAACAAAGGTTTATAATGTGGCAGAACAAACTAAATTCGAGATTATGTACTTTGAAGCCAGTAAACACCCCAAAAAGTAAATAATAGTCTTCAAGAAATCAAACATCTCAGCATGGTGGCTGAGAGTAGGTCTCAATAATAATGACGTCCGTGGAATATTGAGGTAAACATTTTGAATTAATATTTAGTGAAGTTATTGATAAATCGACCCCCTTATCTAGAGAAGTAAATAGACATTATTATCGGATTCGGTATGTATCCAGCTGAATGCCTTTATGTTTGTTGTTGAGAGCCTGTAGTTCACACCCCAACGCTACAGGGGGCAGTAGTGCACCGGAAACCGAGTCATCCGGGTACTTTGGAAAATTGCGCTTGTCTAACGTTTGCGTATGTTTTCGACGTAGAGCCTCAACCATTTAGTTGTGTGACGTACTTATATCCGACGTACCGATTCTCTGTGACTTCCAGTGAACTGCGTTCATAGTGTGGCCGCCGTCGTCCGTCCGTCGTGCGGTTTTTAAGAAGACAAATCAACACAACGGTGAATCGGAAAAAAGGACGATACAACTTTGGAAGAAGAAATGTTGTGGTAGCCGATTGTGTGTGTGGAACGCGGCTGTCTTCAACGTTGATAAATCCCACCGGGAGTGAAGGTGCGTGGTGCTGTACGCGTTTTCGTTTTTGTTCACGTTCAGCCGTTAGCTACTATGCTAGTGTTAGCACTAGCTTACCGCTTCACCCACGCTTGGCCTAACTAACAACTCACTTTAGAGGGCCAACGTCCACTTGAGTTTTTCTGTGAACTGCTTGTGTATCGTGTTGTAAATACTACTTGATTGCATTTTGTACTGTGAAGTTTACCGAACTTAAAATAAGTCAAGTCTAGTGATCTAACAAGTTTGCACAACGTTGTGCCGTACGGAAGCCATGTTGTTAAGCTAGCAGGCTAACCAGATGAATGGTAATGCTAGTTTTACTTGGATAACATAATGTGCAATAGTTTAATTTTATAACTTGTTTTTAATTAACAAGATTAATTTAAATGTAGTGATTTCTCAAACTTCGCATGCTTTTTTTTTTTACCGTTAGACTAACTGACCTAGAGTACTCAGTGTAATGGAGTTTTCCATCATTTTGGCTGTTGTGTAATCATGTAAATGTGATTTTTAAATTCAAACTTGTAACCCCACTCATTGATAACATAAAAAATACACACGGACAACACATTGTAAATTGAAATTCGTTGTTTTTGTTATTAGTAGTGAGGCGCCATGGCAGCCACCTTCCCCTACAGAGGGGTCCCTCCAGGGATGCCTCCAGGTGTGCCCCCTCCTGTGCCTGTCCCAGACTACATGTCTGAGGAAAAACTGCAAGAGAAAGGTATGTTTGGCTTTCACTCAATGCAGCATATTCCCAGAGTGGTTAAAAACTACCATGTTATATTGCAAGTGCACGTGAATAATTTGTTTTAAATTTCCTCCAACTCTACAGCAAGAAAATGGCAGCACTTGCAGGCAAAGCGCTACTCAGAAAAGAGAAAGTTTGGCTTTGTGGATGCTCAGAAGGAGGACATGCCACCTGAACATGTCCGCAAGATCATCAGGGACCATGGAGACATGACTAATAGAAAGTTTCGCCATGACAAGAGGGTGTACCTTGGGTAAATATGATTCACACCATAGTGAACTTATCAGTTTACAATTCTAAATGCAACTTTTTCAGAGGTACCTTAAGTCGTTGTAAGCTTAAAACTGATTATTTATGCACAATTTATTGGTTTACTTAATGATCCTTTGCTAAAAGAATATCCATCACCACTGCCACAGCTCATTCTATATCTTTTTTTTGTTGAACAGTGCCCTCAAGTACATGCCCCATGCTGTGCTGAAGCTGCTGGAAAATATGCCTATGCCCTGGGAGCAGATCAGAGATGTGCCGGTCCTCTACCACATCACTGGAGCTATTTCCTTTGTGAATGAAATCCCCTGGGTCATCGAGCCAGTCTACATCGCCCAGTGGGGGTAAGAGAGAATGTGATGTTGGCTGATGCGTTTGTGTTATCGTGTTCGTAGTAAACAACGCTTACATGTTTGAAAAGTGCACATCAAGTACATTATACTCATTTATATATCTAATCTTTGTTATATATGACCCTCCTCCCAGCACCATGTGGATCATGATGCGGCGTGAGAAGCGTGATCGTCGGCACTTCAAGCGGATGCGCTTCCCACCATTTGATGACGAGGAGCCGCCGCTGGACTACGCTGACAACATCCTAGATGTGGAACCACTGGAGGCAATCCAGATGGAGCTGGACTCTGAGGAGGACTCTTCAGTTGCAGAGTGGCTCTATGAGCACCAACCCCTCAAAGACACTGCCAAGTAAGCCATCGCGTCACTCTTTTGAGACAAACATTTTAAGTTTGACATATTCAGCTGATGTGTATCTAGCAGAATCAAACAATAATTCATTTGTGTCCTCTTCAGGTTTGTGAATGGCACCACCTACCGTCGCTGGCAGTTCACACTGCCCATGATGTCCACACTGTACCGCCTGGCCAATCAGCTGCTCACGGACCTGGTGGATTTCAACTACTTCTACCTGTTTGACCTCAAGGCCTTCTTCACTTCCAAGGCCTTGAACATGGCCATCCCCGGGGGGCCGAAGTTTGAGCCACTGGTTAGGGACATCAACCTCCAGTAAGGACCTCTCGTCTTTAATAAATTATTGACCTACAGACTTTACACTATTCATTTTATTGCATAGTGGAGGGCACTTGGCATACACACTTTCTTAATTCAGCATTTAGAAGATGCGTGTTTCATGTAATTTTTTTAAGTGGTAATCCGTTTCACCCCAAACAAAACTAGTAAGTAGATGCTAGATGCTTTGTGTCGTAGCTGATCCTCTGTGTCTCCTGCAGGGATGAAGACTGGAATGAGTTCAATGACATCAACAAGATTATCATCCGACAGCCTATCAGGACTGAGTACAAAATAGCCTTCCCCTACCTGTACAACAACCTGCCGCACCATGTCCACCTCACCTGGTAAGAAATCAATGAATGAATGAGTTCTGTCTTTAAGTTGCTGCTCATTGACCGTTAATTCAATTTAAATAAAAAAATATTCAGATCAGAAATTAGATGCTCACGACTTTACCCTCGCAGGTATCATACACCCAACGTGGTGTTTATCAAGACGGAGGATCCAGATCTCCCAGCGTTCTACTTTGACCCGCTGATCAACCCCATTTCACACAGACATTCTGTCAAGGTAAGTGTGGACGACTGTGGCTGATTCTCCACCGTCTGCCTTTGGCAGCTCTGAGAAGATGGATAATACTTTCTTGTTTTGAATAAAGTCCTCCTACAAAGGCGCACTTGCATTGGTCTGCTTGCCTGTGCGTAAGAACTGGAGGAATATTGAAATGAATGGTGACTTTTAGTTGCTGCAGTAGCAGTTGACCCGTCACCATTCAGATATTGATTCTAAATATTTCAAGTTAAAATTGATTTGGGGTAAAACTTTAACATCCCATTTCCTTACATTCAGCTGTTCTTTTTTTAAAAGTCAATATTCTATAACGCGCTCTTAAATTCTCATTGTACTTACTTGAACCCACAGAGTCAGGAGCCTCTGCCTGATGAAGATGAGGAGTTTGAGCTTCCGGAGTATGCGGAGCCCTTCCTCAAGGAGACCCCGCTCTACACAGACAACACTGCAAACGGCATCGCTCTGCTGTGGGCACCGAGACCCTTCAACCTCCGATCTGGGCGCACGAGGCGCGCCATAGATATCCCCCTGATCAAGAACTGGTGAGCAAACTACCAACGTCTTCAAAAGAGACTAAACGTGTCATTCACAGATTGAAAACCGATGGGTCGGCTTTGTGCATCTCATTCAGATGTAAAATTATACTTTTTGAGAAATTCTAAATGGAAGTTGTTAATTTGTCCTTCAGGTACCGTGAGCACTGCCCTGCAGGACAGCCGGTGAAAGTACGTGTTTCATACCAGAAACTGCTGAAGTACTATGTGCTCAATGCTCTCAAACACAGACCACCCAAAGCCCAGAAGAAGAGGTGAGCATCCTTGGGACACTTAATTTTGATTTTATTTTAACCAGTCTTTCTAATTCAATC